TACTTTAAACACACACAAAAAAAAAAAAAAAATCATTTTTATTCTAAAAGGTTTTAAAGTTTCGTGGTAATGATTTAAAGTCTTACACAAAAATAAATAAATAAGTTTTACATTTACATCAATAGTCGCCTAAATGTAAAATATGCAAAAGTAAAATATCACTCGTATCTTGGCAAAAATGACATTTATTAAAATCATTCAAAATGAAATATATAGCTAGACATTCGAGGTTAAAACTATTCAAAGGCTCACAAATTCTGTTTTATTAAAATTTTACAGATTTCCGATTTTCAATGGGTTTAGGGTATAAAAAAAATGATATAATGAGTAAATATAAGTAAGTAAGTAAATTTTGCTTTAACAACATTTACTAGCAATATTTTCAAATTAAATCTGCAAGAATATTTTGAAAATGATTCACTAATTTATTAAGTACAACATGCAGAAAATAAATATGCAATTTATTTGCGGATAAATAATAGAAATGTGTTTATTCTCTTCTGGAATCGGGTGTGTATTTATATATGTATCAATATATCGTAGCATTGAGTTTATCGCCACACAGAAGGTGTTAACATTGTCGAAAGATTGTCGCACAATTCATGTGTGGCCATAAAAAAGAACAAAGCGATGGCTCACTGTAAATGCATAATTCATTCCAATGCAAGGACTTTACGAGCACCTCATTATGGAGAGTGCGAAACAATGCGAATAAGTGTGACAGAAGCAATTAATGCGCCAGGGAAATGTCAACACGAACGCAAACACTCACTGGAGGATGACATTGCAGGCAGGATGACATTGAGCTGAAATATCCTAACGACAGCCGAATAAAGAGAACAGAAGCCGACAACAACAACGACAACGACAACGACGCTGACAACGACAACGACGACGACGATGGGAACGCCGAAGGCGAAGACGACTAGCCAAGGACGAAGGCGACGCGTGACGCATTGAGCGAATGTTTGTACACACAGAGCGCTAAAAGGAGCACAGCATACAGGACACAGGAGTGGTCCTTAGGAGTTGCCTTGACTTTGATTGGTGCCGAGCTCTGATCGTTCGTGATTATCCAAGGTCAGCTCACCCACGCTGGCTTTTCCTATTCGCTCATTCAGCAACGACTCGAATGGCCTCGACTGGACTTTGGCAGCATCAAGGTCAGTGAAATTGTCCTGCCACCGACTGAGGCATGCCGAATGCGGCAGGCGAGTAGCCAAAGCTGAAAATTGCTTCATCTGCCAGCACCTGCCGTGCCTGGGCTCGACTAGGAATGAATTTATTCACAGTCCAAATCGAGACGTGTGCATCTTAATTGGTAAATCAAACAACATTTTGAATAATTTTCTCTCTCGCCCTTGCGCTTTTCACAAATTAGGCAGCGATTGAGGCAATCACATTGATGGCATTTCAACGGCCGAGGATTGGCTGGAGAATTTCGATTGGCATTCGAATCGGGGCGGTATGGTATACGGCGAAAGACTCACGCTGCGTTCCGATTAGACGCTCTGACGCTTATACTATATATAAAACTGACTTTAAAAAAAAAAACACCTCAAGTGCTTATATATTCACATGCGTAGGGTATTATCACTAAGTCATGGAGTTTGTGGGATTTGAGCGGGTTTATAGCTATTAAAAAATCAGCTTTACCAAAAAAAATTTTAATGTTGGATTAAAATGGAATATTTTACTAATTTCGTTCATAGATAAATACAAGAATCTAAATTATTTTGGGTCTGTCTTTCAGGCTGAGACTTTTGCTAAAGAACTTTCACTTTGATCTTTCAAATGTCGTTATCTTTTAGTATTTTTATATTTTAGTTATTTGCATATGACATTTACTTTCAATTCGACCCAAGTTAAAAGAGTATCTATGTTTCGTCATTCCGTAAAATAGATCATGCCCTGTCTTGTTTGTTTTCTTGTTGCTGTTGATCATTTCTCTCTCAGCTATTTTGATTTTATACGCAGCTTGACGTCCCATGTTTCGGTCTGATAATGAGTGGCGATGTTGTCGATTGCCGCTGTTGTTGTTGCCGCACAATTAGCGTTTGGGGACGGCGTAATGAGCAATCGGCTATCTGCGACTCCCAGAGGAGACTCGAGACTCAGCCAGCCAACTTCAAAGACACAGCGTGTGACCCTCGGCCGGGTAAACGAAGCCAGCGAAGAGCAGAAATAAACAAACAAACAATCGCACGACTTGGAGTATCTTAAGCGATACTTATGTTATGTAATGCCCCAGCACAGAGGGGGAAAACCGAATTTCCAATGGCAATTTGTAATATTAAGTGAAATCCTTTGAAGTTTGAAGAAATCCAAATTGAAATCGTACTCATATAGACCGAAATTGCGCATACTTATGGTTGTTTCATCATTATCATCGGCATTATATGATTATGATAAAAGTTGCCCTGGGAGCAGCTGATGAGATTAACAGCTCATCGCTCGGTATTAACACATTCGCCTACTTCAGGCGCGTGCCTGTTTCACCTTCCAGAGCATTGATGAAAACTCCCAAACTCCAGTGTCCAGCATTTGGCAGATCTCGGATGTTACCCTCATGAAACAGCAAGGGGATGATCCTTGGCTTGGAATGCAGGAGGCAGCAGGCAGGAGGCAGCAGGCAGAGTGAAGGATGGGGTAGACGATGCGGCACGCTCGCACAATGGGATGGACCCGATTCCACTGTCAAGGTAATTTATTAATTCGGCAATAAAAACGCACGAAACGCTCGTCCCCTGGCGAACGGGCAACGGGGTGTGTTGTGGTCGGAGCATTCGCATGTGGGCCTTACAACTCAATTATTGTTACCAAAACTTGACTTCGGCTCAGATATTGTCCGCATATCGTTTCGTTTTTCCAAGTATTTCATTGGGATTATAAAATCAGTTGAGTGAGTGATAAAACTCAATCGACCAGAAACGAAGCGTTGAGTGTCTGCGGTGGCTGTCAATTTAAGCTCCACCTGATGCAATAAATATGTGAAATATAGCTAAATAATGATTTGATCTGATCAATTGCTGAAGTAGATTGAGTCAAACTTTTAGACCTACGCGAAAAACAGACATTTATATATTTGCTCGAGTTCCAAATGCACGAAATATAATAAAGCTGATTATACAATATATATGTTTCTTTAAAGACACGCTGATTAGTATAATTATTATTTGGGCTCTAAAGTCAGTAAAGTGAATACTTTTATGCTAATGCTCAGCAGTGGATCGGGAGCACGTAGAAGAATAAAGACTCCTTTATATATAAGACACACATACTTTACTCTGTAAGCTGCATGAAATAACTTGCTAATGCCTTAACTGCTCTATGATAAATATAAAGTAATATAAAGTATTATCTTAGCCTAAAAGTTGTATTATTCAGATATACATATTTACTTCCTAACTTGGCTAACTTAAAAACTAAAGCGCTGGCTGTTAAGGCCTACGGCTTAGTCGTATATTTTAGTCAATTTATACAGAATAAAGGAATCGAACTCTTATGCCCTATACATATATTTTTTACAGCTCAGCCCGAATTCGTTTTACAGCAAACGTTTTGTTTGAGTAACTGTTGCCAACGTTGATATCCGATATATCTATAGCTCAGAGAGTGTTTATAGAAAGTGGGTTGTCGTGGGTCGCGTTCGTCCGTGCGGCGGCCTGTCAAGCTGAATAACGCCATAAATTTTGGCCCGGCTGTCACCGAACGTGCGCGCCGCAGCAACAATAACAATGGGCGAGGTAGAGCAAATGCCGAGCGCAGTTTGGGGCAGGAGCCGGGGCAGCCGAGGGTAGCCGCACAATTCGCACATGCACACATATGCACAAACTGCACACATATGCCAGCCAATCTATAGATGCCGCTTGCTAAGGGTGCGGAGAGGGTGGGCCATCGATCGAAGTCGGGGGTGGCTGCGGTGCGCTGCTCCTGCTCCTGCTCCTGCCGGCTAAGCGGATAGAAAAGTCGTGTAAACTCGCCTTTTCGGCCAGTCAATTTGGCTGAGCGGCTTACGGGTCGGCTATGCAAATATGCGCAAGAGTCTCTTTCGGGGCACTTGCCCAGGCCGCAGGAAAACCCTCGCGAACAAACAAAAAGCGCAACACGCGACGCAACAAAGGATCTGCTTCGAATGGGTCTGGGAATGGGAATGGAATGGGTAAGAAGCACGCGCAATATTATCCTGTCGCAGCCTTTGCGCCTTCTGCTTGATATACGCAACCAGTTGAAAGTCCAGGGCTAATCAAGCACCGATAGAGCCTTTGCTGCAGCGAATACCTCGCCGATTCCTGGAACAACTGGCAGCAGCTTCGCTTCCCTTCATTGCCGGCCGGAGAAATTTTGACGAATTTGCTGCTGATGCTGCTGCTGCTGCTAAACGGGCAAAAGGAAAAGCCTTTTGTGCCAACCGTTTTTAGCAACGTTTACAGTTTACAGTTCTGTTTATGTCTTTATGATTATTGCAATTAGAGGAGGGCAGCGAACCAGCCGCTGTCCCGCTCGCCCACCTACCCGAGGCTCGACTTAATTACGCGCCTGTGGGACGTCCAGCGCACGTCTCAAGGCATCTCAAGGACGCGACTCGGCGCAGGGGAAATGCTCGGATAAGTTGCAGCAAACTCGCGATGATAATGGGCGCGATGGGTAGGTAATAAGCAGGCGCAGCAGGTAGGCCAAGGTAGAGACGAAGAGCGCTCGCACTGTGCCGGATAAACGTTCGTATGGCCGGGCCGGATAAACTGCGCGCTACCCCTGCGAGCCATAAATCTGGCAAGGTCCTGGCGGAGGGGTAGGGCGCGCAGCATGTGTCAAAGTGTCATGCGCAGGGATATTTATGCGCTATGACGAGCGCGTGTGCCAAACATCAGCATCGCAGCTCGACTCGACTCGGCTCGGCTATATTAAGGCAGGATCACGGGGCTGAGCAGCTCATTCGCAAACGCAGCAGCGTCGCGCACACATCGTTCATTTCGTTCACAGGACAACAGACAGACGCAATGGCAGCCACCAACACACACTACTATGCCGACAGCATGTACAACATGTACCACCACGCCCTGCCACCCACATACTACGACAACACGAGCAGCGGCAGCAGCAGCAGCTACTACCAGAGCAACCAGGGCTGGCAGCCGGCGAGCTATCAGCCCAGCAGCTACGCCCACTACAGCCAGGAGAGCTACAGCGAGAGCTGCTACTATGCCAACTACCATCAGCAGCAACAGCAGCCACAGCAGCAGCAGCCATTGTGCCTACCCGCTCTCGATGCAGTGCCTCAGTACCAAGTGCCCACAGTTGCCGAGCCAAGCGTTGAAGCCAGCTCGCCTGCTCCGGCTAAGAGCCGTAAGCGCAAGGCAGAGGAATCCGCCGCGGACATCATCGCCGCCGTGGAGGAGCGACCCAGCACACTGCGCGCCCTGCTCACCAATCCCGTCAAGAAGCTGAAGTACACGCCCGACTACTTCTACACGACGATCGAGCACGTGAAGAGGCCCAGCAAGAGCAGCTCCGCCGGCGAGCTGTCGCCCTGCTACGAGCAGGACTACGCCGTGCCCACGCCCTCCACACAGCAGACGCACATGTCGCCACAGCGCAGCACCGGCGAGGATGTCGACTATCTGGACGTCTACTCGCCCCGCAAGCCGGCCAAACATGGCGACTTTGTCACCCCACCACCAGCAGCCACCACGCCCGTCGATGGCCTCGGCCTCGGCCTCGGCATCGGCATCAGCACGCCACCCCAGTCGCCGGCCGAGAAGTCGAATGAAATCAATCATCGCATTGTGACAGCTGCCAATGCCAGCAACGAATTCAATTGGTCGCACATTGAGGAGACCATCGCATCAGGTAGGCATCGCTTTCCCTCTCGCTCTCTCTCACGCACACACACACCCTCGCTATTCTAATGTAACTGTTACTTACTTTCTGTTGCCTTTTCTTTCGTTTTTTGCAGATTGCAAAGACTCCAAACGCACACGACAAACCTACTCCCGCTACCAGACGCTCGAGCTGGAGAAGGAGTTCCACTTCAATCGCTACATCACGCGACGTCGACGCATGGACATTGCCCATGCGCTCAATCTGAGCGAGCGCCAGATCAAGATCTGGTTCCAGAACCGCCGCATGAAGTCCAAGAAAGATCGCACGCTCGAAGCCTCGCCCGAGCACTGCACCGCCGCCGGCTATGCCTCGCTCCTGCCACCGTTGGATGCCACCGCTATGCCGCCACAGTCACAGCCTCAGCCACTGACCCAGCCACAGTCGCAGTCGCATCTACAGCCCGCTGCTGTCATGCCCTATGCCGCATACCCTGCCTACTTGCCCGCCGCCCAGCAGAGCTATGATTACCCGCAGCAGTCGCCGCCACCGCCGCCGCTGCACTTCGCCCAGCCGTACGATGCGCAGTACACACCGCAATATCATCAACAGACGCAGCAGCAGTGCAGCTACCAGCAACAACAACAACAGCAACAAGAGCTGAGCACCTCCAACCAGGCGCTGTATCATCTGCCCTAAACGAACCCGCACACACACAAACACACACACACTCTGACCCACACACAAACGCACACAACCGTAACGAACGCGCCACGAATTCTCGACCATTTGCCGGTGACACGCAAATGTCTAACGAGATGCTGCGCAGTCGCAGTTGCCGTCGCTGCCGCCGTCGCAGTCGCACTCCCTACGGTGCCCAGGACTTGGGCAAAAGGACGAGTGCGCATGTGCGGCTCCTCGACACCTCAAAACCCAGTGGCTGGCCATGGGTTACCCGTTGCCTGCTGTCTGCCCTCTGTTTTCCGTTGCCGGCTGCCTTTGGCCAGTTGCCTGGAGCGCTCGATTATCATTGAGCCCGTGGACTGTGGCCAGGCATCGATAATGCAACACGAGCTCAACTTGGAGACTGATGAATGTTTTGTTTCAAATGTACAGCTAGTATATAAGTCGATTATTAAATATTTATTAAAATATATCTATCGAATTTAACATTAAACAAAATGGCGTTTTCTTATWCATGAGAAATCTTTTAATTGATCATTTGTTAGCTCAGTGAACAAATAAATAAAATAAATAATCATTTATTGA